AGGGATGTTATTCTACACCATTTGCCATTCCTACACCCTATACAACCGTCATCTCAACCATTCAATTTTTAATCAATTAATTGTTTCCTAATATAAAGTATTAATCATAATTAATAAACTCTATTCATATTCCATAAATATTCAAATCATAATAAATGAACTCCAATCATTTCTATAAATATCTCAATTAATTGGGTTGCAAAGGTTBTACAAATGCACAAGGTTGTAAAAGAAATATACCCTATATATATATATATATATGTATATATATATATATATATGAAAGATCTTATTGGTACTTGAAGTGGCAAGCAGACAGATATGGAATGATAGCAGCTCAATCTGTTTGATTATATGCCATCTACAATGGCGTAGAATAAAATCGAAACCTACCCAAAGATCTAGCATCCACTTCTTTTATATTTGAGAAATGCAAGACAATAACAAGATTAAGGTGTGTGAAGGAACTGGTCAATAGTTGACAACTCTTTATCCCTGAAGCCTAAAGGACTACACCATGACTTATAAGTTATGGTTATCAGATAATACATGGTAATAGGTAAAGTTGCACAAGGCAATGACTTTGGCAAAGATGTCCCAGTGTGTCAAGTCCTCCCAGACGATAAACCTTGATTTTGATACCATGCAAGAATATGTGTAACCCATCGGATTACTATTCAAAAGAGTTATCGAGGAGAGAAAAGGTGATCCAACATATATTAAAGAGAAATTGTCCAAATCTAACTAACGTGGGACTCTAATAACTTATTAAACAACATAACCTGAAGAACTAGGTGCACTAGGTCAACGTTGTTCTTCATATCTTAATACTCAAACCCAAGTTATATATATACAAGCTCAGAAGTGGTGCTACATAAAGATACCTGTCATTGATTTTGCTTCTTCTACGCTGCTCCGTAGCAGAATGCTTAGAACGTGGAGTGTTGGGCTTTTGATCATGGTGTGCTGTGTCCACTTTAACCGACAAAACACCTATCATTTTAGAGATGAATTTGTACATTCTCAGAATATATATGACATCATTTGTTCAACAGCGAGATACTGAGGCGGCTAAGAGAGATACCGTTATAATGCAAGGTTGGCTCTTTCTTGATAACAAACTCTTCTTCTTCTTCTTCTTCATCCTCATCTTCTTGAGTACTCTTAGCAGAATTTAACATATCAACAAAACTAGGATTCTTCTGGGCTGATGATGGACTGCACGAATCACCAGAAGACTGTTAAATAAGCATACAAACAAGATTAATGAATTAGATACAGAAGAGGAAAGAAAACCAAACAGACCGAGAAGATGACAGAGAACTGATGGTTGCACTTGGATGGTTATGGGCAGATGAAGACTGTGATGGCCGCTCCATGGATGTCATCCATGGAACTCCCCCGATCTTCATGCCCCCCTCTGTTAAGAACATTAGGGAAGTATTATTATTTTGCAAAAAGATACAAGCTTGATTAGTTCAATTTGAAAATAAGTACAAAGCTAAGGCACGACTAATATACCTCTTATGACATGCCTATTTCCTGCAATATTCTCCTTCCCTGTCTTTCCCTTCTTTACTGCAGATTCTTCCCACAGTGAGAAACCACTCCCTGTGTAAGAACTGCAGTTCGAATTTTCATCATTTTTATCACTACCACTAGACTGTGCAGCCACCTCCTCAGGCTTTGGTATTCTTTGGCTTTGATTGAGGCAAGAAATGTGACTAATGCTGTAAGTCCCGATCCCACCAGGAAGAATGTGCTCCACTGTAGTCGGGGGAGTTGGTGGGAGGGACTTCCTACTTTGTGGTTCTTCGGCTTTATTTCCTTCTCTGGCTACATTGTTCCCTACCCGTTCCAGTGGTTGCAAAAAGTCATGAGTTTCAAGGTAGCCACCTATTGCCAGTCATGTAGATTAGATATAAGGAAAGCAACCACGCATGAAGTCCGGCATCTCAACAAGGTAATGGAATCAATACGTATGATAATCTTAACCCCAAACTAACACGGCCTAGCTCATAACTATAAGTTTTTGTTTTTTAAGTATAGGGCCTCATGGTCATTTTTCCAACAAACTAATGGCATGATGGAAGTTCTTGGATTCATAACACACTGACATTACGTACAATTGGCAACATAAAAAGGCTTTTAGAAAAGAAAATAATGTTATATGTGAACTTTTGATACAAGCAACTCGTTGCAAATAAGCTGGTCCAAAATAACATATGTGCTTGAAAAAACTGAATAGGTTTTGAAATACCATCCAAGCTTTAGAAACAATTGATGTTCTGAAACATGATGTGAAAAGTAAAAGAAGAAAACCGTTGAGCAGAGAAATGGTATCAGATCGTGTGTGGGAGCTTAAATTTACCAGAAAAATAAAGAAAATGAAGTGACTGTCACCAAACCCCAAAACATTATGTCCCCATCCATCCACATTCTTCTGATGGGATTTGATATCTTGGATTCCAAGTAACAAAATCGTACTTATATCTGTATTATAAAGTTTACAAACGAAAGACTGAGCTGAGAGCATGGATGACAAAAAATCAATTTCTTTTTATTCATTCAAATTCTGTTGTAGAAGAAACAAATGCAGATATAAACTGGCTTAGAATCTTTTTCAAATACTACAATTGATTCTATATTTTGCAGTAAGGTTAAAGAAAATAATGAAGTTAAGACCGGAGAAGGGTTAGGTGTCGGGATGCACCACGTGATCGCCAACATGAATCCACTACTACACTAAAATGCAATGATAATTTTAACACCGATCCCAACAAAGACATTTCTACTATCGTTTTTGTCGTCCTTTCTCTATCTTCTTTTGTCTCTTCAGTCTTCCTTTTATTTTCATTACTTTTTCGACCCTCTTATTTTTATTTATGGTTTTTCCGTAATGAACAATGTCATATCCTGTTAGAATATTAATGTATTATTGACAGTAGATGACAAATAACTTTTTTAAATATATATATATATATATATATATATATTGTTGTTTATATTTATTAAAAGGAAGTTTAAGAAGATATACCACTAATGTTTTTTAATATGATAAATACTTACACATCTTGATTTCGGTTAAAAAAAATTTTGTTAAAAATATACAAACAAATATAATTTTAAAATGTCCTATATCAAGGTTTATGATTTTAATTTCTAACCAAATAAATAAATTAATATTATTTATTTGTCTCATCATTATAACATGCTACTTTAATTTTGTTTTAGATCCATAAACAATCTCTTAATTTTATCTTCAAATGGTGTTTTAAACATTTTATGATACAATATAACTTAAGCATTTGACGATTGTTCTAACGGTACCATAGTAGGGTATGGTAAAATCGTTGGATCTTATAGCAAGACCATCAGTCTTCTTTTTTAAATATCGGATCCGAGCATAAAACCCCGTATATTTTATATATAGTCTAACCATTAACGATGAAAGAAAGTTGTAAGATTCCTAAAATAAAAAATCCAAGTGGATGACTAATCCAGAATGTAATAGTGAATTATGTAGTTATGAAAAAAGAATGGGAATAAATTTGTTTACCTGGGGGATTAGGGGATGGATCTTGCTGTGCAGGTGAATAAAGTGAAAGAAAGTCATGCGTTGATTTCCTACCTGTAAATTCAACAAAATCAAACGTCACACACACACACCATTGCTAATTCTCATAACAAAAATTCCCCCTTCTGTTACTTTGACGTGCACCCCCACCTCCTCAGGCCTAACGTACGCGCACGTGCGCGTGTGAAAGAGATGTAAAAATGGTGGTACCTTGGGTTCCAAAGGGACGGGGTTGAGGAAGCTCCATCTGGATGTACAGACTTTGCTTCTCCTGGTTTGGACAATTGATTAGGGCAAAATTGACAATCGTTCCTTGATTTTTTGAATTGTTTTCTGTTGGAAAATTACGGAGCTGGGAACGATGGTGAAGCGTCACGGATGCCCAGATCTAGCAGCGCCCATGTAGATGACGTGACCGCGGTTGCGCCTCCTCTTCTTGAAACTCGGAGGCGCATTCACCACGTAATCCTGGTTAGATTAGATAGATTCCACCACCTTCACAAATCAATATTCATTAATTACCAAAATTCTCTTTGATTGTTTGAGATGAAATTCAAGTACAGTCCTGCTCCTTTGATAATTCTCTTAACAAAATCTTAAAAACACGATTGCGAATCGACAAAATTACCTAATCTAAACTACTCCTTTTTTGTCTGTAAGTAATTTAACGTAATGTTAAACAATACATGAACGACCAGATTAATTCTTCACAATTCAGCTTTAGAAAACTATAATCGTATACGCACGAAGAGACTAAAAGTACAATTAACTCCCCAAAAAAACAAAGAGCAAGAAGAAGCGTAGATGTCAGGAATCCCGATCGAAAAAGATAGAAAAGTACAATTGACACGATCGACGGATGCATACCTTCAATCGATCTGAACTCGTATTATTTTGTGAAATTCAGTTATTAAACCAACTTTGAAGATGATTTCAAAGGAGAATGGAGAAAAGCAGTAGTCATCAACAGGAATGCTCCTTCGAATTCATCCACCAATCTTCAATCACAAAATTAACTATATACACTGAACCTCCTCTTCCTCTTCCTCTTCCTCTTCTGGAGATGTTCTATGATGAAACTGTAGAGAATTATGTATATATGTGATGGCGATGAAGGTGACGATGAGGATGTAAAGCTACAGAACCTGTGCTGTCATGAAAGATAGGATTGTCAGTCCAGATCTCTCGCTGAAATAAAGTTTCTTCGAGTGTGTGTGATTTTGATTTGATAAACAAGTGTTTGTGTGTGTGTGTGTGTGTGTGTGTTTTTTATATGCTCTCCGTTTCGTGTTGGATGAAAAAAGTTATAACGCCGTTTTAGTTAACTTCCGTTAGCCTCCGCCGCAAGTCCTTTCACGTTGACCCTGCAACAGTCTTCTCAACCGGGTAATTTCTAATTATATTTTTTAATAATAAATATTCATATTTATTTATTCAATAAATAATTAAATCATTATTATGATTAAGCTTTTTCATCAACACCATTCGTTGCTCATCTTATCTCATTCCTCTCATCCTTATTAAATATATTTTAATACCATTTATTTTAGACATAACTTAAATATATATACTTTAATTATTTCAATTAAAAAAAACACTTGATATTATAACCGGCCTTCTTCCTGTAACCATCATCCAACTCCTGTCCTCACATAACTTTTCGTTATCCCTAATAATAAGCATGGATATATATACATATATATATATATAAAAGAAAAAACAAACGAGAATGTTAATTATTTAAGAGGATACGAAAACGACCAAATGATATGCAAAATCATGTCATTTAACATTAACGAGGATAAAAGTTGTGCAAATGACTTTGGTCGTAGCTTCAGGTTGTTGGGAAAAGTTGCATGAATCACATATGATTTTGTACGTGGTGTTAATGGCCTCATCAACAATAAGGTGGACTTCAATTGACGCGATAAGGTGTTAGAAGCACCCTGACGGGCCAATTAGCCTTCTGCCACTCAATACAAGACAAGATTGATTGAACCCTATGCCTCAAGTTCTTCAAGTCCGGATTCATGGATGCAGTTTATGTAGGCGCCAACTCCCACAATTTCTCAAGTAAGAGATAGAATCTCATGCTTCTGTTGCCGAACCGGGAGGGGCAAAGAGGCTTACATCCCTTCTCTTAATTCTCAGGCGAGTGCTATAACTTGTTCGCTAAATTCCGCCTTCTATTGGGGGCATATTTCCTTGTATTTTCCTTGATTTCAGTCTAACTTAAACGCTTCCCTTTACTCCATACCATAGGGCCTTTTCATCAGTTGTAGGGTTTGGTGACTCGGCCCAACATGATGTTTGTTGTGAATCAAGTCTTGCAATTGGCTCGGATCAATTCACTCTTTCTTTATCGCAAGCAAATAGCCAGGTCCGAAGGGATCCAGTGCCCAACTACCGACTCCTCCCCAGCGAAATGTAGCAGGAACAACGCCCTTCCTTGAATTATTCAGTCATGCAATACTTATTCCGAACGTTCAAAGAGCGATCGCAGGGTCATTGAATGAATCTTAACTCAACTCGGGAGAGAAAGAATCCAAAGGCCTTACTCTAGTCCTTGTCAGGAATAACGACCCTATCAATTTCGACAACTTACCCTTACCGATCATTTGTTTAAAAGCATAAACTGTAATTCATATTTTCATCACTTAATTAAGGAAGATTTCAGAGACAGAGGATCAAACCAATGGGAAGAAAGAAGAGAAAGTACACAGTCTTCCCCTACCTAATTACTCTAATGATAAAGAAGTAGAAAACTCTCTCCTTTCATAGCTCTCGACCCTGTTCAGTGAAAGAAGCAAGTCTACTTCGTCGATCAATGTCAATGGAGGCTAGCTTGCCGTCAAAAGGCGATTGTCTTTTGTTCAATGAGAACCAAACGCAATGCCCATCTTCCAAATCAAAAGAAAAAAGTCGTATATTAAATATGTATTGTTCTCGTTTGTCTCTCTTTCTCTCTCTCTCTCTCTCTATATATATATATATATATATATATATATATATATGGGCTCATTCAAGGGAGAACTGGTTAGTTTGTGGTAACCGTGAGATCCAATCTCAGCCACAAATCAATAGATAAATTAGGAAATTTTTAATTTTGGTAATTTTTAATTAAAGTTTTAATGCAAGGACATTTTAAGTATTTTCTCTCATCTCTCCTCTCTTCTCTCTCCGTCCCCGTCTTCCGGCCACCGGCCTCCGGCCACCATCCTCCAGTGATACCACAGTGTGATACTCAAGCGCATATAAGATGCATTGTGATACCACTGTGTTACATATCCGATCGACCACACAAACGACCTCAGTGTGATACCCAATCACATATAAGATGCATTGTGATACCACTGTGTTACATATCCGATCGACCACACAAACGACCACAGTGTGATATCCAATCACATATATGATGCATTGTGATACCACTGTGGTATCACCGGAGGACGGTGGCCGGAGGATGGTAGTCGGAGGTCGGGGGACGGAGAGAGAAGAGAGGAGATAGGAGAGAGAAGAGAAAATACCTAAAATACCCTTGCATTAAAATTTTAATTAAAAATTACCAAAATTATAAATTTCCTAATTTATTTATTGATTTGTGGTTGAGATTGGACCTCACGGTTACCACAAACTAATTAGTTCTCATTTGATTAAGCCCCTATATATATATATATATATATATATATATATATATATATATGTTGGAAACAAGATAAAGCAATTAAAGGATTTAACATTGAATTAAGAAAGCAAAGATTAAATGGAAAATTAGAGGGCTCCTTGTACTCCCTCCATGTGATCCTCCACCCCCACTAATTAATTAATTGCTATAATCCCCGACTTTAATTAACTCATATCTTATTAAAGCATAGAATCAATCTCTTTCCCAAGTCTTCCGTTTCCATTCGCCAAACTTAGCTCGATGGCACCGTCATACGTTCGCATCAATTACATCAAAACAAATTACAAGATTTATGAAGTCGAATTGAATCCAACGTCATGCACTTATTTATTCGTATTTAAATACAAAAATAAAATAAAAAAGATTTTTGAGTGTAAGAGAAGGGAGTGAAATTAATGATTGAGGCTAATAATTAAATAAAAATGTGCATAACTTGTAAGCTTAAAACAATGACTTGTATGATTAGATTATGGAATAGCCAGCAAATTTAGGTTCATCGACTCCTCCTTCTCTTCCCTTTTTTAATCCAAACCCAATTATTATGTAACATGCAAATATCCATTATTTAATTAATTAAATATTATTTTCCAATTATCCCTAGCTTCCTTTCATCCAACAAAATCGATCACCACATTTTTTTTATGGATTTATTATATAGTTTTTAATAAAATATTCGATTAAATTAATAAATTAAAATAAAAAAAAGAAACTCTGTAACATGGACATTCTAATTCTTATGGTATCCTCTTAGGGATCAGTTAACAATTATTTTCCATGGTTTATGATCTGGAACTAATTATTAGTTAATTAATTATAATTAATTAAAGTGGAGTTCTAGCTTTTTTATTTAATTAACATTTTATTCATGACACGTGTCGGTTGGACCTTTAATTACGGGGAGAGTCACGTGAATTGAAAAATGTCTGCCTACCACTACGAAGATGAAACAGTCCCAACCATCACGTGGCCAACTCACCCCGCGATGTGCTTGTCGTTGTCCCTCTACATTTTTTTTTTTCTTTTTTATTTTTTTTTATTTTATTTGACATTTTTCATTCAATCGCAGATCTTCTAATCCGTTTCTGTTACCTTGGCCGGTGACCGCTGCTGTATTATTCCGTATCCAAATTACATTTTTGCCCATTCATTTTTTTTAAATATATTTTTAAGTTAAAATATGATGTAATAATCATGTGGTACAAACGGCAATGCATGCCGTACAAGTCGTATCTTCTTTTTGCATGGGACTGTAAAACAGAGGGGTCTGAATGTAAAATAAATGAAGAGTAAGTTAGGCACGTGAGGGAGGGATGAGGACAGGCGGTCACGTGCGTCCATCCCCTGCAGTTTTTCATCTGCCAACTCCTCGCGTGCGGTCGGCCCCACTCTCCGTCTGTCTTAACGGTCGTTTGGATGTGAGAAACGGCGTTTGTGGTACTTTTGTACGCTCCAACATCCATGTGTTAACGGAGGGACGTTATCCAATGCCTTGTTGACACGCATACCTCAAATGTCTAATGTTGAAATGGTCTCATCATGATTGCTACAAGGTGGGTGAAGGGTTTTTAAGATTAAATTTCCATTTTCTTGTTTTAGTCTAATTTTTTATTTATTAAATAATGATAAAATTATCATTCAGGGATCGTTTGTTTATCTATTAATAGTTCCCTTAAAAATTGAA